TGTGCAATCTGCATCTTAGAAATAGCAGCGTCCCCACAGGGGACCTCAGGAGGCCCGGGAGCGCAGCCCCACACCTCCCGCCTGGAACCACCAGAGCCCACGCCAAAGGAAGTGCCAGGTTTTACCAGGGTAAAAGATTCCCATTCCACCAGATGGATACACCAGTCCGCCATTTCCGGCTTTGGTCTCACACTTGGTCGCAGCAGGAGGTGGGCCCCTCTTACCCAGTTCTGCTGAAGGTTCATTTTGCCTCTGGACAATCAACAGGACAGTTGCCCTTCACTTAGCACCAGAATGATCACGTCTTCAGCTGTCCCCAGGGCAGGGGCAAGTTTGAAGCAAAATGTTCAAATCATTCCCTAGTCTTACCCAGGAACAAAGGGGTTTGGACCAAAGACCAGAACGCAGCTGGTGTTAGATGACCAGAATCAGGACCTGGTCCGGAAGGAGCCCACGGGCCTTCTGCAACCTCCCCAATTTGCCCAGGGCTGTGGGTAAAGCTGAATGGACACTGGCCAACAGGGGAGCGAGGAGGAGTGGTGGGTGTTCTCTGTGTAATAACAGTTGTGGCACAGTCTGACCCTCCTGACACAGCTCAACAAAGTAGCTGCTCAGAAGCATGGGGTAGTTCACTGCCCGGGGTGACCACTGCTGCCCTGGCCTTTGTCCAGTTCCCATGGGAAGGGACCTGGAGGTCATGCTGCCAAGAAGTGGGTGGAACTTTGACCCTGCAGCAAGCAAGCTAAGACAATGAGACCGCTGTGTGGACAAGAACCAGAGACCAGTAACGAGATCTCAAAAATGACAGGAGCAGGCACCACATGATGGACACCCTCTTCCGCGCTTCCCGGGGCTTGTTGCTTGGAAAGACCAAGCCCTTGCAGCCTTCTTTGTATATGTAGTGACTTGGGGCTTGAGTATCCATCCTTTATCACAGGCATTACTTGGTAGCACACATGCCTGAGCATGCACACCTAGCCCGTTTCCTGGAGGAAGAGGCACTGAGGGCAGGTGTGCTGGCTTGCCACCTGCCCTCCCATACGGACAACAGGACAGCGCCAGGCAGTGAGAAGAGCAGGAGAGGAAAATCTCTGCCAGAATAGCCAGCTTCTGTCCTCCCTTGGCTCTGCCTGGCTCCGGCCCAAGCAGCACAAGGGCCAGGCGTGAGGAGGAAACACAAAGCCGAAACTACATTCTCTGAATGCCCACGGGCCTGCACACCAGATAGGGTTTTTAAAACCAGAGAGACAGGTGTTTGCTTCTTGGCATTGGGCAAGCAGGCTCTAGACTGAGGCTCCTGTCCCTTCTCCAGACTTCCTGCTGGTATCTGTGCTAAAAAGAAACCTGCTGTTTCTCCGGTCTTGACTAAACTCATAGATTCACTGACGGTGTGGGATAGTGTGGGGTAGCTGGCTAGTGTGGCTAAGAGCTTGACATCAAGGCTGGCTGGGTAGTCTCTGCTCTCTCCAGGACATGCTCTCTGGTTAAGCTCCTTGCACTTCACAACTGAATGCAGAAGCTGGGCCAGCTCTGTGCACTAGGCTCGCTTCCCACCCCATCTTCCCAGTATGGCCCGGAACTGGAAGCACAGATCTCAGTGGAAATGAATTCTACTGGAGGCCTGTAGATTCCATTTGGACTTTGAGCTAGATCAGGTAGCAATCCAGGAAGCACCATGATGGCCACTTCCCGCTAGGCACAGTCTGAACAGAAACCTGGCATTCTGTTGATGTGTCCCCTTTACCCCCTCCACAGCCTCCTCAGCCCAGGTTTCATGCTCTGCCATTTCCCTTCCCACTGAAATGGGTCAGAGCAATGAAGTCTCAGGAAGGGAACCTGTGCCCAGAGGAAGGCTCAGGCCCACTACTGACTCTGCTTCAGGTGCTAGAGCTCTTGAGAAAATGGATCTCCTCAGCACACAGAGACCGCCCCGGGATCTGTGTGTGTTCTCAGGGAAAGGGAGACGCGGGGAGAGGGGCCTCCAGGCCAGAATGAGAACCAGGTCTCACGAGCCACCTGACCTGGAGACAGACAGCTGTGCAGACAGCCACATGTGCACAGCACTACCCTCCAGGCTGCAGCTGAGCCTGAACATGAATGCAGTGCGCAAGAACTTCAGACACGCATCGCCAGGAAGGCGAAGCAAGCTCATGAACATCCCTAGATAAACAGGGAAAAGGGAAGGAGGATTTAAATGTCCAAACTCCAAGGTTTTAGGATTTCCTTGGCTGCTGCTCTCCTACGGAGTGACTATCCGCTTAGGCAGGGATGACTGAACTGACAAAATGTCTACAATCAGAAGATTTTGGTCCTTACAGAGACTACGAAGATTAGGCCCTGGGGACCAAGACAAGGAAGGTGGAAGCAGGCAGCTGGGGGAGGTGCTCACAGAAACACAAGCACCCCGTCAGGCCCCTCAGCCTCCGTGGGAGCTCCAGAGCTGGAAGGAAGAGGGAGGTGACAGAATCTGTCAGAGCCACTGTCTGAAAAAATCAAAACTGCCAAGACCACATCTCAGTCTGAACGCACTGGAGCTTCCTGGTGGGCAGGTCCTCTGGGGTCAGCTGGGGACAGACTGTGAGTGTAGGTAGCTCAAGTTCCCACTTGTTCATGGGTGGGCAACAAGCTCCGACCCCACTCCGCTCTAGAAAAACTGCAGGAGCCACAGGCCGGTGCTCTAGTCCCGACTAGTCCCCTTGTCATTTGGCAAGGATAAAGGAGCTCAAAGGTGAGCAACCACCACCAAAGCCCAGAGCCAGGCAGCCAGCCTGAGCCTTTTCAGGAACCCAAGATTCTCAGCTTCCAACTACTCCCTGGCCAAAAAATTACAAGTAATCAAAAATATACAAAGTATGTATATCATAAATGCAAGTTTGCATGGTCAGAATAGTGATCTGGTTTTGTTGGTTAAAATGGAATTTATCACCCCATGTAAGAAACAAGTCAAACAGGTGATAGGAAATGCTGAAAGATGGTCAACCATCTCTAGTGCACACAGGACAAACCTTTCATCAGTAAAAGCAATCCTTAACTCTGTAGCCCATGGGTGGTGGCCTCAGATGCAGGAACTCACAGAACTCAACTCTTCAGCAGCAGGCAAAACTGGCCTGCCCTACTCCCAGCTACACCCCACCCCAGAGTGGCTTACTGCACTCACAGCTTGACACCAACAGCCCTGGGTCCCCCAAAGTACCCGCTTGGTGATAGCCTGTCACCTTAGGTCAGATTCTGCCAATCCTAAGGTTAAACTACTCTTTCCCGTGTCCAAAGGCAGGAAGAAGAGTCTGTCTAGTCTTCTGGGCTCCTTACTTGGGCAGTCTTTGTCAATCATGGTATAGACCTGGCTCCTGGGCTAATAATGCCTGGAAGGAAAACATGCCAGGGCCAGCATCATGGTAACTCGTCCCTCTAAAAGATGAGCTGGGGAGCCATGGCTGGGGCACCATGTCCCACATGAACTTGTCCCCCTTGTGGCTTGTTTCTCCTGCATTACTGTCTGGATGGTAAGTTGAATGTCAGTACAAATAACCAGAACACCAACGTCCAGCCATTATGGAAGGCTCAGGTGGCGACGCCAACAGGCCTCTGGGGATGAGGCACCGGTGGATTCAGCCATGCGCACAGCTGTGGCAGGTGGCCCTGGACACCAGCATTCCTGCACACACAGGCTGCTTCCCTCACACAAGGTGCGTGGAGCCCCTCAGGAGTGCACATCAGATGTACTTTCACAAGTAAAGTATCAGATGAATACTTGTATATGTGGTTATATGAATTGATCTGCAAGTGCATAAAAAAAGAAATTCCAGGTGTCTGTTTTCTGAAAGAAGGCAATACCTCACTGTTCTTGGCAATTCCTCAAAGGGTTTGGGGACCAAATAAGTAGCTTGATTCCCCAAAGGGAAAGGATATAAAATAGGCTGCAGAATTTGCCCAGTACTCACAAGCTGTTTGGTCCATACAGGGACAGGGAAACAGAAACAGAAAAAACACTTTAGAACAAAGTTTAAGAGCTTTGGGTTTCCAAAGAAAGCCTTCTCTCCTGAGGGGAGGGATTTCCTCCGTGCTGGGCTAGCAAAGTGGCCTGATCATTCCAGAGCTGTGGTGGGGAGGGGGCAGGCAGAGTTAAGACACTTCTAATTACCTCCTGCCCGCCGCCTCTGGCAGCTCTGGGCCTCCTGATGCTCTGGGCAGCCAGGGTCAGCAGGGGAGCCTGTGGGGCAGGTGCTGTGCTTGTGCTGGGGAAGCGGGAGCTCCCCAGGAGTGGGGCCACGGTAACCAGCCTTGGCCTGCCTCCCCTCTCCACTCCACTGCTTGTGGTGTGACCAGTTTGGAGACGCAGTGGCTCTACTATCTAGCACAGCTTTTTAGCAAGCGAGTTTTCCATTGCTTCAAAGGCACCTTTTCTGGGATTTTTCTCAATTCAAAAGAGGACAGGGCCGAGGCTAAGTAGGTAGAACACTTATTTCCAAGTTTGGGTATATAAACACACAGTTCTACACATGCCCTCACAAGGACTTGCGCAGCTATGTCCAGCACCTCTGGGGCATGCACCCAGCATGCTGAGCAGGCCTTGGTATTGGGCGGGGGCACTACAGGTGTTCCACTGCAAGTCGGTGTTCAGAGCATCCTCACTCTGGTTATTCCAACCTGCAGGGGCTCATGGAGTGTGGGGAGAGGGCTCCGACCTCCACGGTGGCCAAAGCCACCCTGAAAAGTGCCTAGATAAGCCAGGCACTGGTGGCTCACCACCTATAATCCTAGCTACTCAGGAGGCTGAGATCTGAGGATCATGGCTCTAAGCCAGCTCCTACAGTGAAGTCCTCATGAGACTCTCCAACTAACCACTCAAAAAAAAACAAAAACTACCACCAGAAGTGGAGCTGTGGCTCCAAGTTGTAGAGTGCTAACTTTGAGCAAAAGAGCTCAGGGACAGCACCTAGGCCCTGAGTTCAAGCCCCACTACTGACCCCCCCCCCCCACCCAAAAAAAAAAGGGTGAAATGTGTACGCAGTCAGCTCATTAGATTGACAGATGCTCCTTTAAGTCATCTGACCCAGAATTCAAACTCCCAGTGAAAAAGCAGCATTATCAAGCCAGCCGAGAAAGCTGGCTATTTCCGAGGGCCTGGCAGGCCTGGCAGGAGCCGTGGCTGGTCACCGCTCCATGTGGGGGTCTCCGCTTCATGTGAGGGTCACCGCTCCATGCGGGGGGCCCGACGTCTTTTTCCCAGGTGCTGCTGCCTTGGGGAAGGTGAAGCTCTGAGTGTGCCTTGGAGCCTGGCCCGCTGCTGGAGGCCCCAGCAGGCCCCAGAGAACAGGCATGGCGTTTTCAGAGATGAGGTGAACAGCACACTGCCTTGCTAACCAAAGTTTCTATGGAAGGAGAATGTTTGTTATCTGATGCTTTATTAAATGAATATAAGCGCTGTATATGTTAAAAACTTGATTCTGTCTGTGACTATGAAATCAGAACCGTGTTGTCCCTGGCAGGCAAGAGAACAGCGTGCACCTCTCAAGGGAGGCCACGGCTGGGAGGAGGAACCTTCCTGCTGCTTGCTTGGTAGTGGCAGTCGGAGGCGGAGGTGGTGGCTGGGGCTCTGGCTGGCTGCAGGGCTCGGAGGCTCTCAGGGGGTGCCCGGCGGCTGGCAGAGACAGGTCTGGCCCTTCCCCGTGTCTGGGTGGCAGGTGGCACCCACTCAGGCCAGTCCCTCGCAGCAGTCAGTCCGATTCAGTCAGTCTCTGAGGAGAAAACACAGGCAGGTCATACTTGTGTATCTCGTATCTCGGGAGCTCAGCAGCTTGTACATCCCCGGGAAGAGGGCCCTCCCTGGGGCACTGGAGACACGCCCTCCTGCCAGCCATGCCCCCTCTAGCCTGAGGGGAGGTGAGAAAGGACTGAATGCTGGCTGTACCTGGCAAGGCCTTCAGACTCCCAGAGGAACCAGCACCAATCCCACCCCCAACTGCTGGGGCAGAGGCTGCCTCAGCCCCACAGCCCCGGCAGGATCACCACCCTGCCTCTTGGCTCCCCAGGACAACCAACTTTAATCAAGATGTGTGGTCTAAGGTTTTCAAGTTACCTACAACTTGCAGGCCTAAAGTCAAAGTCAAGTAGGCTGGCCAGAGGGGCCGGGCTTCCTCCATGCGCAAACAAGACCCTGAGCCTATACCATGAACTGGAGAAACCTGATGCAGGAACAGACAGACCTCCACTGCATGGCCGGGGGTGATGTCCCTGCCATACCCAAGCCGAAGGGAGCCAGCTCATCCTGCCCCCAGCTACTTTTTAACCATAAACTCACACAACCTAAATTCAAGTACACAACTCAGCAGCATTAAGTATATTTACCATGTTCACAATACTACCTTATTTCCAGGTTTTTATCATCTTAAACAGAAGCTGTATACCCAATAAATGGTAACTCCGAACTCCCCCTTCTAAGTCCTAATATCCTATGCTCTACCTTCTATTCCATGTTTGCTTATTCTTGAGGCTTCATGTAATAAGTGGCATCCTACCACGTTTGTCTTTTGTGTGTGGCCTACTTCACTGGCATGTTTTCAAGGACCACGCATGTGGTAGGATGTATCAGAATTTAATTTCTTTTTATAGCTGAATAACATCCCATTGTATGTATATATTTTTCCCTTTTTCCATTTGTCAGTGGACATTTGGGATCTTGTAACTAATTCTGCAGCGCCAGTATACAAATATCTGCTCAAGTCTCTCTTTATAATCCTTTTGGGTATATATGCAAACTGTGAAATGGATAGATCAGATTCTTTTTGTTTTGTTTTGTTTTTTGGCTAGTTAGTCCTGGGGCTTGAACTCAGGACCCAGGCACTGTCCCTGAGCTTCTTTCACTCAAGGCTAGCACTCTACCACTTGAGCCACAGCACCATTTTTAGCCTTTTCTGTTTATGTGGTACTGAGGAATCGAACCCAGGGCTTCACACATGCTAAGCAAGCACTCTATCACTAAAGCCACATTCCCAGCCCAAGGTCAGATTAATTCTATATTAAACTTGAGGGACTGCTAAATCAAAAAGGTGGTCACAGGCCTTTCCTGCCCAGGCTGGCTTTGAACCACATTGAACCATGATCGTGAGATGATCACTGTCCTCAGAGCTCATCCTCTGAATACCTAAGATTACAGCTGGTGACTAGCTCTTTTCATTTTTTGAGTGTATTTTTTTAAGTGGCAAAGAGTTTACAAGAGTGAGCGAGAGAGAGAGAGAGAGAGAGAGAGAGAGGCAATTACCTATTCTTCATGCAGAAAGTGGGAGGACACTCAGTGTCCTTTAATGCACAATTAAAAAATATATATATATATATTTGACACAGGATCTTGTATATAGACCAGGCTAGCCTCGAACCTGTAATTTTCTTGTCTCTGTCTACTGAGAACAGGCAATACAGGAATGCACCACTATGTGAGTCTCAAAACTTTTAGATTTTATTATAATCTGATTTATCTTTTATCTTTTGTTACTTAGGTTCTTACTTAGGGAATTGTTACCTAATCTTCTACCTGTATTTTCCTCTAGCTATTTCTTCTACTGTTGGCTCTTTTGCTTAGATGATTGGCATATTTTATGTCCACTAGGTCTAATTGGTTGTTTTGGCTTTGTATTGTTTTGAGATAGGTTCTCACTGTGTTTCTTAGGCTAATCTCCAATTTGTGATCTTGAGAGATCCTTCCTACTCAGGTCTCCTAAGTAGTTTCCGTCCAGCTTTTGTTGAAGACATGTTATTAAAGTTTCTGAGGAGGCCGGGTAGCTTGTGTCTGTAATCCTAGTTACTCAAGAAGCTCAAATCTGAGGATCATAGTTCAATGCCAGCCCAGGCAGAAAAATCCTTGTGACTCCTATTTCCAATTAACTGCCAGAAAACTGGAAGTGGCATTGTGGCTCAAAGTGGTAGCGCACTAGCCTTGAACAAAAAGCGCTCAGGGACAGTCCCCGGGCCCCAAGTTCAAGCCTAATAACCAACAACAAAAATAAAATAAAAGTAAAGTTTCTGAAGGTATGTAATTAAATTTTTAAAGAGTTTTATCTACTTCTACCTTTAATTCTGCCTATTTTTTGCTTTATATACTTTGGGGCTTGCTTAGGTGTAGAATAGTAGTTGCTATATCTTCTTGTTGTATATTAAAGCTTTTTTGTTAATATATTGTGTCCTTTGTGTCCAGCCTGCCAGCAGAAGGGTGCCGAAACCAACCTGGACAAAGCCTTCTGGCTGGAAGAGCACAGACAACCTGAAAAATGGCTGAACCCAATGCAGGAGTGCTCTTTCTGGCACTGCTTCGACTCTGATGCTGGGATGTGCTACAGGCATTCCAGGAAGCAGGCTGTGAGTGCTGAGGCCCAGCATAGAGGCGCACCTCTCCTCAGGGGGCATGGCTAGACTTGGAGAGACCAGAGGAAGGCCAGTGGCCCTGTGTGTTCACACCCTAACTACTGGTGGAGCCTGGGCTCACCAAGCGTTTGCTCTTTCACTGTGCATAGCTGGGCTCTGCCCTAGTGTGTGGGAATGAAAGGAATAGGCGTTATGAGAATGCTAAACAGCTGGAAAACATGGCACATTGCCCCCCCCCATAATAGGCGTTATGAGAATGCTAAACAGATGGAAAGCATGGCACATTACCCCCACCCCCCCATATAAGCAGACTTGGAAGTCTCCTTTATCTTCTTAAATAAATGAAGAAACAATAGTGTAACTAGCTTCAAAATTGTTGTCTTCAAATGAATTAAAAATACTCAGAGGAAGAAAAAGAATTTTGTCTTTTTTAGAGGTTTTTAAATAGAAAGCAACGGGGGTGGAAAAACTGGGGTTTGCCAGGCCAAAGCAAACAATATTCAGCCATTGTATGCAAACAATGGGGCACCGTCCAGGAAACACTGGGACCCGTGAGGGGGAGGAGACTGTGGGTGGCTTTGGGGATGAGGTGCCAAATGTAAGACCCTACACAGAAGCAGCTCCTCCTAAACTTGCCAGGCACCCTCCTCCACGATGCCCAGTCACACACACTCACACACACACACTCACACACACACACACACCCTCAGCAACAAGTGCTGAAAAGCTACTTTTGCTAAAAAAATAAAATAAAATAAAACCGACGCTATGCTTGGACCCACAGATTATCTCAGTGCAGGAGAGCTTCGATCCTTGCCTATGTTTTGTGTGTATTTTAGTCTAAGCCACTCTCTCGGCAGTCACCTGGGTTCCAGGAAGGGACAAGACTGATCAATAACATCTTTATAACCAGGGACGGAGACTACCCCTAATGAACAACAGAGCCTCCCACCAGACCACAGACCACCCAGGAGGCAGTGACGACCTGTTTATCTCGTCCAGTGATGACAGCAGTGTGGGAACCCTCCCAAAACAAAGACCGAAATAATGGGCAACCAGGCCAAAGTTGGACCAGGGCTGTCTAATATGCACACACACACACATACACCCACACATGCTCACAAGCATACCTCACACACAGATGGCTGAACGGCTAACTTCCTGTGACTGCCTGCATCACATAAATCTCTCCCTTCTCTATCCTTTACCTTTTGATGTACAGATTAAGAGTAGCCGTTTTGCCAGGCACTGGTGGCTCACACCTGTAATACTAGCCACTAGATCTGAGGATTGTGGTTCAAAGACAGCTTGGGCAAGAAAATCCATGAGACTCTTATCTGCAATTAACCATCAGAAAACCAGAAGTGGTGATGTGGCTCAAAGTGGTAGAGTGTTAGCCTGGAGCAAAAGAGCTCAAGAGACAGCACCCAGGCCCCAAGCTCAAGCCCCACAACTGACAAAAAAAAAAAGAGTGAACATTCATGGGAGTAGAATTCTTGGGAGTTTGGGTCTAAGATCTAAAATGCTGTTTCAGCTTCTGCACATACACATACACCACACTACCACAGACAGGTAGGGCTGCCATTTTGGAGTTTCCCATCCCTTCAGCTTCTGCAAGAGAATCTTCTGGCCCTCACTTGAATTTCTGGATGCCTTCTGTGTTTGGTCCTCTAATGAGAAGACAAATGTGAAGGAACAGGGAGAGCAGAGGCAGGCAGGCAGGGAACTCAGAGTCCAAGAACACCTGTGGGTGTGGCGCATCTGTGGTTTTCCAGCTGCCTTTTAGAGTAATCTTCTAAATTTTACTCTCGAGTACTAAGAAACCATGCGCCAGAGAAACTAAAGAACTAAATTCAAGCTTCAGGGCCAATAAATGTCCAAGAGAGAAGGTAATTTTCTATTGTAAGCATTCATTTTATATAAAAAATAACAATAGTATCTTTTTTTTTTTTTTGTCAGTCATGGGGCTTGAACTCTGGGCCTGGGCGCTGTTCCTCAGCTCTTCAGCTCAAGACCAGTGCTCTACCACTTGAGCCATAGTGCCACTTCTGCTTTTCTGTTGCTTTATTGGAGATAAGAGTCTCACCTGACTTTGAACCACAGTCCTCAGATCTCAGCCTCCTGAGTAGTTCGATTACAGGCGTGAGCCACTGGCGCCCAGCAGAAATAACAATGGATATCTTAAGACGGCTTTGAAAAAGCACTTCAAGTGTATAAAAACAATTCAAGGCTCTCTTTCCTGCTGTTCACCGATTTGACATGGATTTCCTTGATGTCCTATGGCTCTCCTGGATGAAATTTTGACCTCTTCTCCTATTGCTAAGTAATGGCTGGCAAAGCTTGGGTTCCTTGAGGTTCTCCTTGTTCTAAAGACCAAAAACAAAAAAACCCAGAAACCCGCATCCTCCCAAACACCTTTCATCATGTTCTGCTTCCATGGCTTCTGCTGCCATTTGCCATTTGTCTCCTGAGGCAGCTGAGCAGTTAGTCCTGCAGGCAGGCAGCCTCAGAGACAGCCAACACTCCTTTGTGTCCAGCGTGAGCACAGGCGAGGCCTGGCTCCCATGGATGCCTTACCTAGTGGAAGTCCAGACTGGGGACTCGATGGAGGCTCCGAGCTGGCGTCGGGGGCACTGGGCTCCCATGACTCGCTGTTCTCAGGCACCTCCAGCCTTCTGTGAATTGCTGCAGGCTCACTGGGGCCAGGGCCCTGGTCCTCACTGCTCGTGTCTGCTACGGCCCGAGTCTCTTCACCCATTTTCTCAGCAAACCACTGCTTGACCTGCTGGGAGCTCATGTGGGTCTTGTCACAGAGGTTCTGCAGGTCCTCCTCGTACAGCATCTTGTGTGTCACGTAATAGTCTTGCAGCAGTTCCCGGTTGCCAGGGGCGATGACCAGCAATCCTGGTGGGAAGTTGCCCCGCTTGTAGTCTTCGTACCATTTGAGCTGGCCGTTCTTCAGAGCGTACCTGCTGTCTCCAAACCAGCGCACCACCTCTGGTCGTGGCAGCCCTGTCTGGGCCATGATAGAGTCATAGTCCTGGTTGCTTGGCCACTGTGTCTGGACAAAGAGCTGTCGCAGCAAGTGCCGCTGCTGGGCCGTCTTTTTGTAGCTCACTTTGCCTGGGGGCTGCTCGGTCAGCTTGCTCAGCACATCCTCCTCCGGCTCACAGGCGCTGAGCCCTGGAAGCTCGCTCTTGCCGCTGGCCTCGGTCACCCGCAGGTTCTTCAGGTTGATTTTGATGGGGCTCACTTTGCGCTCCGCTGAGGTCTGGCTGAGGAGGACTTCTGGGGAGCTGTTTTCTCCAGGGACCCTCACCTCACTGGCCGAGTCTCCTTCTCCACCCTCCTCCTCAGCAGGCTCCTCGTCTTCCCGAGGGGCATGCTCAGCATCTCCCTTCTTGCTGTCCTCAGCACTGACTTTTTTCCGTCTCTCTGAGAACCAGCTATCGATTTCTCTTCGGGTCATCTTGGTCTCACTTCTCAGCCGGTCCAGCTCCTCGTCCAAGGGAAGGGGGTTCTGTGCAAAGCTGCTCTCCAGGGCTCGGAGCTGCTCAGGAGCTCTCTCTTTGTATTTGGTTGGCGTGAAGTCTGGTGTCTGGTGCCAGGATTGCCGTTTGGCTGCAGGGTGGCTCGCCAGTGAGGCCGCTGTGGGAAGGCAGGTTACGTCGGGGGCCTTCGATGACAGGGAGAAGGGGATCTCTGGCACTGAGTCAATGAGGAGGGAACTGTGCTCTCCAGGCATCATGGCCCTGGAGCCTTTCAGGTTCCGGCAGTGGTATCTGCGATCGCTGAACCACTTCCGCACCTCTCTGGTACTGAGGCCTGTCACTTTGGTCAGATGCTCTACTTCGCTCTGCCCTGGGAACTGGTTCCGACAGAAACTCCCTTTCAGAGCCGACAGCTGCTCGTGAGACTTCTTGTTTTTGTAGATGCTAGCGTCAAGGAAGGCTTGGGAAGTTATGCTGGGGCACGCCGTGAGGAGCGACTGAGCCGCATTAACCACCTTCACAGCCGATGTTGTATTCGAACACACAGTGTTAATGGGTGTCGCGTTTGGCTTTGGGACAGACGTAGCTGTCAAGGGGAGAGACGAGCTTGGTGCTTGCAGCCCATTTGCCATCAGTGGCTGAGTGACCAGAAGTCCCCCTGCTGTGCCCTCTGGCTGTCCCACCACGTGGCCCGGGAGAGCAGCCTGGATGAGATGCTGGACGTTGCCAGCACTGGCAACCAGGGGTGTGTTGAGCACAGTGATTGTGGGCTGGGGCACGGACTGGATGACCGTATTGAACATCTTCTTGCGGGCATCCTCGATTTCCTCAGGGGACCAGCTGATGCCCTGCTTCAGCCTCTGGGCTGTGAACCAGATCTTGAGCTGCTCTTCCGGGTACTTGGTCACCACAGTCAAGTAGCAGAGCTCCGCTTTGGTGGGATAGGGGAACTTGTGGAAGGAGTTCTTCAGGAAGCTGTTGGAGTCCATGGCGGCGTTGTACGTTGGGATGCTGCTCAAGGGGATCATGACTTTGGGAAGGGCCTTGGAGGTGGGCAGGGACTGGTGGGTATGGTGCTGGGCATGGACGGAGGGCTGCTGCTGCTGGAGGGAGAGGAATTGTGCTATGCCAGCTGGCAGGACTGGCACTGTTCCTATGAGGGGCCCGTTGGTGGCATGGGGGGGCTTGGTAGAGCTGGTAGGTGCCTGGCTGGCTGGAGCTGCCCCGTTGAGGAAGGCATGGTCCCCCTCTTTCACCTCGGTCTCTGCCGCCGCTGGCTTTGGCAAGGCCTCACTCCCGGGCTGGCTGGGAACATTCTCCTTGAGCATATGGATCTTTTTGGCTTCAGCTTTGCTTTTCATTATCTTCATGATTGGAGTCTTGGTAATAATGATTTCAGCCTGTCCGTCAGTTCCTTCAGCGCTGGCCTCGCCTGCTACGTCAGGAGTGCTGGCGCCCTCCGGGACGCTCTGCTCCACGACCACATGATTGTCTAGCTTGGCCACACTCCACACAAAGCTGGCTTCTCCCGAGTGACACTTGGCATTGTGCAGGGAAAGCCCCTCAGGAGTTTTTGCCAGGAAACTACACCCCGTGCATATAAAATGTGGGTCTTTATTAAAGTCTGTGTGCTCTGAGTTCATATGTCCCACAAATTGGGTTATGTCCTGGGATCTGAATTCACAGTCTTTACAAGAATATAAATAGCCGTCCAAAGAGCTACGATGCCCGTTGGCTAGGGCAGAGCCATCGGTGCTGCTGGGATTCTGGGCTGCCTCGCTGCTGCTGGCAGGGGCCTCCGGGGGAAGGTCCTGCGGGGGGCCCGCAGACAAGGCTTCCACAGGCTGAGCCTCCACGCTGGCACCCTGCAGCACGACAGTCTTCACAGGGATCATGCATGGGATGGTGGACTTCCTCTTGCTGGCCATGATGACAGGCACTCCGAGTGATCAGGCAAGAGCCTATCCCATCAAGGGCCTTAAAGGGCAGTTCCAGCTACTCCATGAGTGCCAAGAACAGCTTCTCAGGACAGCCTTTTCAGCTATCTGCAGAAAGTAGGTTTCCCCTATTAAACCTGAGGAAGAAAAGAAGAAACAGGACTAAGATCTCTTAAGCTCTGTTTCTCAGATCCACCGCCTGTCCTCCATCATCAAGGTTTTCTCACAAGAAGCTCCTCTGCAGCTTCTTGGCAGAAGTCTGAGTCAGGAGCGGCTCAGTCCCTGCCCTGGAGAAGGACCTGGGGATGTCCTGATACCACTTTTGTTTCACACTCCCACACCAACCCCATACTCACAACCCACACCCTTGCATTAAGTAGCTCAGCTAACAAACAAAACAAACAACAACAACAAAACATCCAAATACCCCTCCCTGGACCTCCATATGAATTCTGACCTTATTGGAATGAGAACAAAAACTCCAGTGTCATTCTTGTTCAAATGTTTTGGCCAACAAGGGATTTTTCTTTTCATAGCCTTCCCACATATAAGAACATGATGACGAGCCTGTCTCCCCCAAGCCGGGCCCAGACACCATGCTAGCTGCTGTGTGTGAGTGTAGGGGAAAGCAGGTGAAGACTGGACACTGGAAGGCTCAGTCTTCTCCCTGGGACCCTTTTTTTCTGCCTGCTGTCCTACTACTCCCATTCCTGGCCCATTCCTGGCCCCAGAATGGGATCACAGTGACCAGTTGTACCCAGGGCAACTGTCAGAGGGTCAGGGTATCAGTCCCACTAACTCCTAAGTAAGGCCCAGAGTGTAGCCATTCAAATTAGGGCCTCACACGAGACACATGCACTGTGCTTAACTGTCTACCATTTTTATTTTCTTTTGGTATCTTTATTGTTCCACGAAAAAGCATCTTAAGTCTTTAATCTGTTTGAAATTTATTGTAAAAGCCGAGAGACTAAGGAACTGATTTAGCTGTAGTCTGGTTACTATCATAATTATCAATGAGCTGAGATAGACAGAAGTGCTTGGTGATCCCTAATCACCTCATATAATATGCCATTGTTAACATTCCAGCAAATTACAATGCTGTGAGGATCAATGGTAATTCTAGTAAAAAAAAAATCAAGATATCAGGGTTGGATTTGATATAAAAATGTATAGAAAATAAAAAGGTCTCCAGCCAAATCGTTAGCAATCACTACAAATTATTTTGTTGTTGTTAAACTTCACCTTGATTTAAAAAAAATGATTGCTATTTTAAACAAAGTTGTGGCCATACAGAAATAAACATATGCCCAGATCTAGGCATTGGTCACCTTTCCGCCACCAGCTGGAAATGCCACACATAAATTTTTTTTTTAATTCATTTTTAACTTTAATCAGATGTGGTAGTACATGTCTGTAATGCCAACACTCAGGAGGTAGAGGCAAAAAGGTAGTAAATTTGAGGTTCCAGGAAAGCCTGAGTTATATGAGATCCTATCTCAAAACAAAAACAAATTATTTTTAACTATAAAGAAAAAATATAAAACCGGGTGCCGGTGGCTCACACCTGTAATCCTAGCTACTCAGGAGGCTGAGATCTGAGAATCACAGTTCAAAGCCAGCCCAGGAAGGAAAGTCCGTGAGACTCTTATCTCCAATAAACCACTAGAAAACTGGAAGAGGCGCTGTGGCTCAAGTGGTAGAGCGCTCTCCTTGAGCTTAAGAGCGCAGGGACAGTGCCCAAGTCCAGAGTTCAAGCCCCATGGCTGGCCAAAAAAAAAAAAAAATTACATAAATTATTTAAAGATTTTAAGTTATTAAAAGTATTAAATAAAATTTATATATGCCTTTCTATCCATTTAGTTCAAATATCTTATGCATATTTCAATGATAATGAGCATGCACTTATATTTGCTTTACCTTGCAGAATATGATATGGTTTCACAGACATTTTCATTATAAAAGCTTCAAATTAAAATGTCTGGAACGTAGTAATATATTACTGTGACTGAACGTCATTAAGGTATGTTTAGTGGTTAGTGTTGTGTAGGTTCCCACTGCACTTGTCCCTGGCTCACAGTAGAATGAGCAACTCTGGGCAGCCAGGAGATTTTCTTCTACCAGATTATTCCCTGTGGTTAAGTATACCAAAATGGGTTAACCAGTTCAATATGTGTGTGTATGAATATATAAGTATATATATATATATATGTATATATATATATATATATTCTAAGCTCCTTTATATATAATTAGGAATTAGTTTTAATCTTACACTTCATACTTCCAAAATAATAAAAGTAAGGATAATATAGTTACATTCCTAATGAGCAAATTAGGTGTTCAGACAAGTCAGGGAAGACATTAAGTAGAATATCTGAAAGTCCAAAAACAAAACAAAACAGTGGACTGCACGATAATTAAAGACTATGTTTCAAGGTCATCATCTGAAAGTGGAGAGATGGGCCTGGGGTGCGGCCACATGGCAGATTACTTCCCAGCATGCACAAGGCCCTGGGTTCCAGCCCAGCTCCCTAAATAAAGTGAAACGTTTTGAAAATTATATATTTGATCAGATCTATCTAGAACACATGAAGACTTCTTACAACTCAACAGTAAAACAAGCCCATCCCCAAGCAGGCTCAGGGTTGTAAAGGAGTAAACTGTTTGAAGACTGTGTGAAGTCGACACTGCCGTTAAGCAGCACAGCATGGGCAAATATGTCCTCTGTTCAGCCACCTAGGCAGCTGTAGTCCAAGGGAGGCCCAGCTACTGCTTGAGCCAGCAACAAGCCTGGCATCCTCTGCATTTTGCTGGTTTTGCAGGCATACAGAAAGTAAGAACTACAGGGTAATGGAGCTTCCACCTAGATTTCAAGGAAAGGCCTGGGGGATGGGGGATGGGGTCTAGGTAGGCAATGTGTGGCAAGGTCAGAAACTCTTCAGACAACCTCTGAGAGGATGATGTGTGAAACTCTTGAGTGTGAAGCCATCGGTATAATAGAGACACGAGGAAGTTAGAGAGGCCAGGAGCTGAGGAAAGGAGCAGGCAGCCAGCTGTGGTAGCCTGAGAGAGACTCAGGGGCTGCAGAGAGCAACAGCTGGAGGAGGAGATTCCCAGGACTGCTGGGAATCGCTCTCTTTCTCTGCTTCCTGTGCTACGGATGGTGGATGTGGAGTTGCAGCATTTAATATCAGTTTGTCTTATTTTGGTCTTGCTATTCTTTTATTAAGTCTTTCTGAAATGGGAGTACTTATTCTATTGAGCACGTATGTAACTTCTTTTTATTTTAAAGAGGCTCATGGTTCAGCGTTCCCTTGGACTCTCAGAGGACACTTTTAGTCTGGACTTTTGAACATTATCAGGATGGTGAAGACTATGAGGACTCTTGGAAATGAATGGGAATGCACTTTACATTGTGAGATGGACATGAGCCTTCTGGAAGACTGGGGTGGAACATTAGGTGTCTACTGTGTGAATATGTGTGTGCATATGCATGGGGCTGAAACTCAGGAACTTGTGCTCTGACTTAAAGTTTTTGCTCGTGGCTAGCACTCTACCACTTGAACCACACCTATAGTCTTGCATTTTGCTGACTAACTGGAGATAGGAGACTTTAAGACTTTTCTGCCTTGGCTGGCTTCTGACCACAATCCTCCAGCTCTCAGCCTTATGTGTAGCTGGGATTATAGACATAAGCAACTAGCTCCTGGCCTGACAGATGTGCTTGATATTACATTGACAAGGGGTATATGTGATAGTTAATCTTGATTTCCAGTTTTACTGGGTTAAGAAGCACCTAGAAAATTAGCAAAGCATGCCTCCCAGTGTGTCTGTGAGGGCATTTCGAAGCAGAAACTCACTAGGGTACAACACTATCCATAGCTGACAGCTCCCCGCAGGAAAAGCCTGACAGTACACAAATCCCTCCCCCGCCATCCTTCCTCTCTCTCTTCTTCCCTCTCTCTCCCCCCTTTCTCTCCCTCCCTCCTTCCCTCCCTCCCTCCTCCTCTCTCTCTTTCCCTGCTTCCTGATCACATGACATGAGCTGCTCTACTCTGCCACACTCTTCCTACCTTGATGACGATCCAGATCAAATCTTTCCTCCCTCTATGTTAGTTCTTTCAGGTCAAGGCTGGTCAAGGGCCTGGGAGCGTGGCTTAGAGCGCTTGCCTAGCATGCCTGAAGCCCTGGGTTCAATTCCTCAGACCAATAAACAGAAAAAGCCAGAAGTGGTGCTGTGGCTCAAAGTGGTAGAGCACTACTCTTGAGCAGAAGAGCTCAGGGAGAGCACACAGGCTTGAGTTCAAGCACTATGACAAAAAAGAAAAAAAAAAAGTAAATCCTTTGATCCAGTCATTTCACTTCTAAGAACTCACAGTCTGATGCTCAGAAATGTAGGCACATGATCACAAAGGAGCAGTAAGAACACGCGCTGCTTCATCTGTTAGCACAGATGAGGCTTCAGGTAAGGTAGTGATGAGTCATTTAAAAGAAGCACCACTAAAACCAATACGTACTGATATAAGTGTGCCCATGACCTTAAATAAATATATAATGTGCTGTACATAAAACATATAATTTACACATATAATTTATAAAATTTGTATTCTAACATGAATAACATTTAATAGCACAAAGAATACTGATCCATCAAATTGAGTGATTTTATTTTATTTTTTATTTATTTATGTTTTTGCTGATCCTGGGCCTTTAACCCTGGGTCTGGGCACTGTCTCTAAGCTCCTTTTCCTCAAGTCTAGCAGTCTTCTACTTGAGCTACAGCATCACTTCCTCTGTAATTTGAGATAAAGGTCTCACCATCTTTCCTGCCCAGGCTGGCTTCAATGAACCAAGACCCTCAAATCTCAGCCCCCTAAGTAGCTAGGATTACAGGTGCAAGCCACCAGCACCCAGCTCTGAGCAAGTTTATTAGGAGGAAAAGAAATATTTTAAAAATTTAACACCTATTTTGTTTTAATTTGTTACACTCATGCATTTTATCATTTAAAAATAACAGTAAAAACTAACCTGAAGCCAGGTGCCAGTGGCTCACACCTGTAACCCTAGCTACTCAGGAGGCTGAGATCTGAGGATCATGGTTTCAAGTCAGCCCAGGCAGAAAAGTGAGACTTATCTC